TTGCCTCAAAGGACCCCAGAATTATGCATTCGTAGCAACGAATCCCCGATATTCCACCCCTCCAAGATCCGCATTGCTCGTGTCCCGACGATTTATTATGAGAAACATATCGCACATTTTCTGCCGGGCCGGGACTTTGGTGCATGAAAAAACCCATCGGTGGGTTGAAACGGGCAAAACCACACGGCTCGAGGAGGTGCTAGTAAGAGGCGGGTACATGCCTCGTAAACCTTAGATTTACTTCTGGCTGGCCGCCATCAGAGTAACGTGTTGTATGTTTGGATCGTACAGCACAACCCCACCCGCCTCTCTCCCCATCGCCCCCCTCATTCGCCCCGCCGGCTCGTTTCCTACCACCTTATTCAACTCCTTCAATGTGCCTCGAAGAACCGTCTCGAGATACTTATCGTTGATATTACCGTGCCAAGTTATACAGCCGCGAGAATTTTCCCCGTCTTTTTTATTCCAAACTGTGCCCCCTAACCGACGAAAAACCTCAAACCTCGGTATCTTCGGCTGTTATTTTATTCTCGTAACGCGTTATTTCGAAAGTAACGTGGAAAAAGTGAATATAATCGTCGTGCGCAGACCCCGGAGGGCAGATCGAAAATTGATTTAATTTTATGCCTTTTGCGGTTTTCTTTTTGCAAAGTCCTTGAAATGCCATGATACTGCAGTAGTCCTTTGGCCACACTTTTGTTTCAAACCCATGATATCTCATTTTTTCCAAGTACTCGATCTATTTTCCCCGATAGTCGACTATGTTTCGTGAGAAGAGTCAATAATTTTTGTACTGAAGGTTTTGATTGCGTTAAAAATAACGGTCAGGCTTTGAAGGGCCTTGAAACAATGAAGGTTAAAGTATTTTTATGTATTTATTTAAGTATTTTTATTCCTTCATATTTAAAATTTCAGTCCTTTATTTTTCAGTTCTCTTGAAATTTCTTTCTTACTCTAAACTGCGCCCCCTAACCCAGCGCAAAATCACAAACCTCCGTATCTTCAGCTGTTACTTTATCCCCATTATGTGTTATTTCGAAAGTAACATGGAAAAAGTGAATATAATCGTTGGCTGCAGCCCCCGGAGGGCAGATCGAAAATTGATTTGATTTTATACGCCTGTATTCTTTTTGCAAACTCCTCAAAATGCCACGATACTTCGGTTTATGTGCAGAGTCCTCCGGGCACTCCAGTACTGGCAGGGCCTCTTATAATTAATTAAGACATGTATTCCAAGTACTTATTCGAGAATCTTTTTAATCAAACGCATGATATCTCACTGATTTTTCCAAGTATACTTCATTTATTTTTGCACTGATAGTTGTGATTACGTTAAAAAAATGAAAGTTGAAGTATTTTTGTGATGGAAAATATTAGTCTAAAGTATTTTTCCATATAATCATGCAATTCATTTCAATTTTTCCCCATCTTCTTCCTTCCAAACATCGTCCCCCTCCCTCACCCGTCAAAAAACATCAAACCTCGGTATCTTCAGCTGTTACTTTATTCCCATAGCGCGTTATTTCCAAAGTAAAATGGAAAAAGTGAATATAATCGTTGTCTGCAGCCCCCGGAGGGCAGATCGAAAATTGATTTGATTTTGTACCCCTCACTGTACTCTTTTTGCAAACTCCTCAAAATGCCACGATACTTTGGTGTATGCGCACCAAGTCCACGGAGCTAACCAGTATCGGCAGGCCCCCATATCATTGATCTCACAAGCGTAAGCGGAATAAAATTCGGTAATAAAATTTGTTCCCGCCAGTTATATCGTCGACTGGGGTACAAACCGGCGAGGGAGCGCGGGGCGGAGGGTTGGATGCGAAGCTCGGGAGCAAGTGAGAGAGACGCTGGTTTTGCCTGGTTTGCCAAAAGGCGGCTATTAATTTTTTATCTCTCATCTCCCTGAATACCCAATACAAACTCCCAAGAGATGCACATACGAAAATAATCGAGTGAAGGAAAAAGACACAAAATCCCCCGAACTCCGGTATTTTTTCAATATTCCAATGTGGCAGACTCATAAAAAAATAACATGTCGAAATTATACTCAACCCGAGGCACCCACATAAATACGTGTTTACGTTTTTTTACAACGGGAATTGAATGAGCAATTCATTTGCGTTTGTATACATATAAGTCGTTATTAAGTCGTCCTTTGAACCCCCATTAGCAGGCCAAAAATGATGAAGTAGAAATCGATACGAGACGGGGCAATCGATACACCCGTCGCGACGAATACATGCATATTGATGGGTTCTGGTAGTACGTAACTGCAAATGATGCAGAAACTTGTGAATATCAGTTGGGTTTTATTTTTTTTTGAGGTTATGCAGAGGGCGCGACGGTGCGGCGTGGGTGGGGCCACCCGATGTGTACGCGCGCCGGGTCCCGTCGGGCCCCCTCCCCTCTCCCCCTCTCACTGACTGGAAGATCGTGAGTCCCGATAGTCGAGTACCTCTGGGAACTATCGGTATCGATTGTCGATCGGGCGCACCAAGTGGTTTATGCGAGCTCTCAACCTTTTAACCTCAACCGTAATAACTGCGAGGGGCACCAATGGATACATCGACGGGTTTATAAGGCCCCGATCATCTCTACCCCTTCCTCCACCCCTCCGCCCCCCCCCCTACGGAGCACCTTGATCTGTCCGATCAAACTGGATCTTCGTTGCACGATCCCCTTGGCCACTCCCGACCCGCAATAAATCGTCGTTAAACAATTTTTAAAGTGAGGGAGGGTAAAGTGAAAGACATATTGGTGGAGTGAGAGGGCCCCGGCGAAGTGAGAAATAGTGGGTATGTGAGGTTCACCTGGCCTTTTTTTACTCCGGGGATCGGTTGGGTGGACGGTACCGCTTCTCGTCGGAGGGCAACAGTGCTCGGTGAGGAGGGTTCTTGAGAGGCCGCTAAATCGCCAGAGTCCCTTCGGGGGGAGTATGGGAGAAAGGTAAATTATTCGTGGATCTCGTCGATTAGAGGGCGCTGGGTCAAGCACCTGCCGGATTCACACATACGGTGTTTTGGGGGGTTTTTTTAAT